CATAAGAAATGGGCGAATCATAATCGATTATTCCCCTCGGATTCGACTGTAATTGGTCAATTTCTTATGGCTTAAGTCTTAAAACATCTATTGTAGATCCGGACTTATCGGAATCCTGTTTTCTGATTGGATGCAGAGAGTCGTACGACGAAAATCGGATGCAGGGTGAATCCAGCATAAGGTTTTTTATTTTTAATTGAACTTCTCTCGCAACATTTCTTGCATCTCGGTTCATTTTTTCTCTTTTTCTCTTCGTATTGTATGAAAAAGGTAGAAAGTTGAAATAACCGTGTTATTATTGTTTTTTTTACTTAAAAAAAGGTTAGGAAACTTTCAAAGCGTTGCAAATAATTATAGATAGACACATCAAAAATATTAATTATTTAATTTTTATATTGATTTAGGGATATTATATATTGCTATTACTTATCACAAATTGATGTGTATTAATAGATCTGTCGCGTTGCATGAAATCCCCAAATATTTTTGCACTTAAAATGAGATAGATATATATATTTGGCCTTGAGAAGAGAGAAAGCGAAGATGCAGAGTGTCAAAAGTGCAAGCAACGCGAACAGACCTAATAACTACTTCTCTACTTCTAGGGATTCTAATTGGCCGATTTGTTTATGGCCGGAATCAGACTAGACGATGAGTGCGTTCAGCAGAACGTTTGTTTTGCAACTGTTGGAAGTTTCCTTCGCGCTGATTGGATCATACTTTTAGATCTAGAAGAATGGTCCTATCTCAGCAGACAATCATGAAACGGTTGCAAAACTGTTGAGTCTGCTGAACGCAGCCATTGTCTGCTGAGATAGGACCATTCTTCTAGATCTAAAAGTATGATCCAATCAGCGCGAAGGAAACTTCCAACAGTTGCAAAACAAACGTTCTGCTGAACGCAGCCATTAAAGATTGAGGGCCATGGCACACAAAAAAACTTAAGCAGTAAAATGTAAGCAGTAAGCGAATTGACCAATCACAGTAGAGTCCGTAAGGCCATGACATAAGCAGCAGCGAATCCAACA